CCCTCGGGATGCCACTATGAGGAAAGGTTTCCCACAGGGTTAATGAACTCGAGACAACACCGGCGTTACCGATTACACCCGGTGTAACAGCATCCTCTGTCCTTGGACCCTCACATCAGATAAGGATAAACTCCCCCAAAAATAAAAACCTTTAACGGGGGAAAAGGAAGAAACCTGTTTTTGATTAGAAACCAGTCGTACAAACTAGTTTGTTTGAAGCACACCCCTGCCTTAATAGCACAGGGTAAAACAATGACAAATAATAAGAAATCTAAATGTATCCGTAATAAATGATTGAGGTGGTAACTGTTGTACTTGACATCACAGGAAACAACAGGACGGTCTTTCACTCTGTGATGGAGAAGAGAAGAGAAATTCAAGCACTGAGAAAGAGGAGCGGTACCTCCTGTTCCCCTTCTCTCTATAAGACGGGCTCACGTTGAGCTTTCATGTGAATCTGCATAATGGAGCAGAAGGCCTTCCACCTAAATGTAGCATGGAGTGTAGAAGAAGAAGAAGAAAAGACATTAAAGCCATTCAGGGTCAAAGATTCCCCTGGAGTGCACCAATAATCTCCAATAGCAATCTATTAAAAATCACTTTTAAAAGAAACACGCTGAAAAATAGGCTTCCAAGCAGAGACCATTACTTTGTTACCTCTGGCAGACAGAGAGGCACCTGGGAAATCTGAGCTGACGTTAAGGGGGGGGGGGGGAGCGGTCCAGCAGAAAAACTAGATCACTTTCGTAAGCTAATTAGCTCTGTATATTATATATATATATATATATATATTAGACTCTGTATATTACCAATCACAAGAGCCTCACTCTGAGGCACAGCAGCCGGCCAAGGAACATATTTGTCTTCCATTTGTGCAAAGACTGGCAGTGGAAAGGACTGCGGGACGAATGTTATTCACCGAGACATTCCAGGGGATAAAATGTGCACTAAAGAGGGATTCAAGCCTCTGATTTTTGTCACCGCTGCCTCTGTTATTCCCAAACAAACGGACGAGAGCTTTGTCGAAACCAGATCTCACCGCTTCACATGGAATCAGTTCGGTTCACATCAAAATAACAAACTGGAGTAAAAGGTTTTTACAGGGTTACATTAATAACCAAGTCACAAAAAGATGAATACGCATTTATTTTAAGGGATCTAAACTTTATACAAGGGTTCAAACAGGAAACATGCTGATAAGAGTCAAAAGGTTTAATTATCCGGTTTTTTCACTTTATTTTGAAGGTTTCTCTTGACAACAATACATATTAGCATATTACTGAATGGAAAGAGGTGTAGAATTATACGGCTGTCTATTATAATATAACTGTCCAATATACACGAGTACACGTTTTAAGATCATTTTCCAGTTTTCTGATAGTTTTTTAATCCGTGCTAATTTCAATACATTAGAAGAGAAATCTGAAAATGAAATAAAGCGCAGGCTAAAAATGTTTCATTTCGCCTTTGGAGTCCTTAAGTACATTTTAATAATCTCTGACTGTATATTCTTTGATCTATTTTAGGATCCAGATGTTTCCCCCACGATGACGGTTATATCCGTCTTCATTATGTAATCTTTATTATGTAATCTTTGTTATGTAATCTTTATTATGTAATGTCGATGCCACTGTCTTCAGTTTCCGTGTTGACATCCTTCTTTCCTTTCTAATTATTTTACTGATATTACAGCATGAGCCTTGTTAGAGTTAAATCCTTTACTTTCTCACCTAACATGGTCTTTCACTCTCCGTCTCTCTCAGTCATTAGCTAAGCACTTATGTCTATCTACTGCGGCTTGGATTAAACTTTATTTAAATGTACTTTTGCAAAAAAAATAATCTGCTCAATGAATAAATGTAAATAGCATATTGTTAAGTCTTCAAAATTCAACTTTAAGAAGCTGTTAATGAATCAATGCATTGAGGCGAGAAGTGTGACTGTTGTTTACATTTCTTTCAACCCCAGATACATATTTTGCTCATTTCTCTGCATTAAAACAATGTTCATGACGGTAAAATAAATGTGGAAGCTGTCGTTGACGCCATGTGTTCTCAGTCAACACTTTGAACACTCAATGTACAACTTCCACCAGCAGAGGGAGGAAAGACATCAGAAATATGAGCTGTCAGCTGCTTAAAGGTCATTCAGAAAGGCCTTGTTTTATTTTATATGTAAAACAGACACATATCTATGTCATGCAAAAAAAGGAGAAAAAGAAAATATCTGACCAAAGATTCGTTTTTTTAAATGAACAGCGATAGAGCAACAGATAGAGTTTTGCAGGATTTGAAAAGATTAAAAACTGATCCTGACTTGGTCCTCTTCCTCCTGGACTGGTATGTAATGTGTTTATTTCATTCATAAAATACACTACAATACATGCTTTTACATCAATAGATCTTTGTGACTCAAGTCGCTGGTGCTCATGGAAACACTACCGCTGTTGTCCACAGGGTCCGCCAAAATCAACACAAAATGAAAGTTCCTTATAGCTGCTTTAATTCTGCATGTGCAATTTAATACATGGACTTGTCTTCATCACCAGATAATATATAATCCATCTTTAAGCTTTTGACATCTTCTCACTGGACAAGCTAACGATTAAACCATAAATGAGGCAAGTTTCTTTATCTCTATTAATAATATCACTTGCTTTCCAATTTTTTTGTTATGCTTAAAAAAAAAAGGAAAGTCGCGTCCTACTCCGTTTCTTTCTTTGTGAAGTTACTACAAAATGATTAAAATCTAGAAACAAAAGCCAGCTCTTATCTAGGTGTAGATCTGAACAGGTTAGGGGTCTGCTGGTACGTGGACAATGTTGTTCGTGTTCAAATGCAACTTGAAGTTGCATTTCTATCTCAATAGAAGCACAGGGAACAGACCCAGTCACTCCATTGTGGGAGACAGACAGTAAGAGATAATAGCAAACACCAAAACCATCACACTGCACCACCATCACAGTGACCTCATAGGAAACAGTGAGCACACTCTTCCCTCAGGAAACATCTGGGCCAACACTCCAGCAGAACAACGGATCAGCAGAGAGGAGAAACGGGGGCAGAGGTGGGAGGGCGTCATCGCAGCCGTGTTTTCACTTTTAAGTCCGTGGTAGAGGAGCCATTATAGGGGCAACGAGGAAGTGACCCTGCAATTCATTGTTTCCACTGAGAACTCCTCTGAGGCAGCGAGACGTGGGCTTCTATTGTACACCAGACTGGTAAGACTGGACTGGGTCCAGGTGTTAATATGGTCGACAAATAAATGAGCAGAATTTCCTATTAGTCTTTATTATCGTGTCTTTATTTAATACTTTAATCTGCAGTTCTCCTCTGAGCCACACGAGGGAGCCTGGATGTACATATTATTCTGATAATTGTTGCCTTCTGAATCTAATAAACGAATCTTCATACAACGGCTGGTATGATATTACTCCTCATTTTTCACTTTATAAAGAAGTCTCTTCTCTGCTGACTCAACACATCTGTAGTTTGGATTTGGCAACATTTGGCCTCAGTACTAAACTAAAAAATCTGCATATCATAGAGGAGATAAACATGTTTTATTCAAATTGTGATGCAGTCTTTTACAGATTTAACAGTGTGGTTTAAAACCTATTGAGTTTCTATTAAAATCTCATCAAGGATTTATCTTCCACAAGAAAAACAATGTTTTGCTCTCATAATAATAATAATAATAATACAAGAGTGGCACAAACTGGAGCTAGGCTATCACTCAAATACTAATGTTACACATAAAGGCATCTTCCAAAAAGTTTGTCAACTAGAAAGAAAACACACGTGTTCACACTCAAAAGCTACTGGCTCATAACTGTGGCAAGTAAATAATTAATAACTATTAAAACAATGGTTGTGTAATTTAGGAATCTTAGTGAATCTAACTCTGTTTACATCTTTTCAGATGTAAGCTGTATTGTGAAGCTAGCCTGGCTAGCATTAGCTGCCTATAGCTTTGCACACCTGTTCATCATTTAGCTAGCCTGTCCCATTAGCCTCCACCAGACACATATTATCTCTTATTAATGTGAATATTTCTGTCTCCAACAGCCACAAGCAAGCAGAGCAGCCAAGGTAGCTAGCAAATATTAGAAATATGTATAAATATTGTAACTAAACATAAAACACGCTACATTTGCATTGGTACCTGCAGCAGCACCTCCACCTGGTCAGGATAGTCGTGCCTTGAAGTGCTCGCGCACGCAGAGGGGGCTGTCTTCACATGCGCATGCGCGCGAAGACAAGGTGCCAGTTAATAACTAGCCCAATTAAAACGTTTTCTAGCCGAGTGTCTAAAAATATAGTATGATAACAGTATGAGTTGATGTTAGATAGTCAGTGTTTCTCATAGATGCGGTTTAGGCTTCAGCAGTTGTATTAAAGTTAAATATTAAAATAGGGGTAATTGTGTTGGTACGGTCCGGGGGGAGGGGCCAGGAGTTAGACATTACAGAAAGAGTTGAGTAAATGAGTTGTTCTGAGACTATGACACTGAGCACATAAACTACAAGATTATAGTATTTATGAAGAAGTCCAACAAAAATACATTTGTTTTCCTGCTTCAGAGACATTTCAGTGCTAAATTTAAAATGAAAGTTTATTAATTTCATATACACAGCAATATTACACAGTAATAGGCTTTTCATATCCAGATTAAACCACATTCACCAGAATCAACAGGAGCACCGTCTGAATCAATACATGATTATCTCAGATATACTGTACCGTTGATCATTTGCACCCATAATAAATAAGCATAGAGTATCATAACGTGATCTTTGCATAAGTAATGAACGCATGACAATTAATCACAAGAAGCTCAACGGGCAACATTCCTCCCCAAGTACAGATTTGTCATTTTCACTTCATTAAAATGAATGAATTTAATCCAGTGAAGTGAAATGGTGTTGATGACGAACAAGATAATCAGGATAATCTTTTATAAAGTGCTTTGAAAAAAATTCTGTGAGAAACAGATGGGGACATTTTATAATTTTATTTACTAACTTTTCTTTTCCATTCATGAAAATAGGTGAAATTCAGGATCATTTTTGTCAGTGTTTGATGTTGTAATACTCATGTTGGCCACAAGAGGCTGTGGTGCACCACTAACCCATGTTCTAAATAGAACTAAAAACATTAATGTTTTCTTCCAGGGGAGTTTTAACTCCAAACACGAGGTTCATATATTGTGTGTTGAGCTTCTGTACATTTCAACATGAACAGTAAACTAGTTTAAAACAAGATAAAAGGATGAAATCTTATGCAACAAGCTGCAATTTCAACTAATCATTGTTCCACAGCATAGGCCCCCAAAGTAAGACTACATTTGAGTATTTCCTATCAATTTTTTTAAAAAGGATTAATGAAAGCCCCTAAATCCTGGAGGCACCGAAGCTCACAGTGATAGCACACAAAAGGAGACGATACAGTATTGATTGATACAGTACAATGAAACCAAATCGATTCCACACCAGCCTCGTAATGAGGGTGGCCGGTCATGCACATCATGCCTGAGTCAACAGCATGCTACAAGGACAAGTAGCAGCCAACGCCATGCCACATCCACCATCAATAATTGATTTTGTTAAACTGAGCCCTTTGTGCATGAGCCGTTCAGTCAGCTGCGTTCATTTCTTCTGGCAGTAGTCGCTGTATTTGCTGCAGGCCTTCTGCATGTCCGTTAAGAAACCCGGAACCCCAGTCTGTTGAAGACAAACGCACAAAAGAGCATCCATCGTGAACACATGTGCCAAGACGACCCACCCAGGCGGGGCGACACAAGGAGAGAGGGGCTCGCTGACGTCAGCCTCGCAACACACATCTGCTTACAATAACGATGGAAAACCACAAAGCAGGCCGGAGGGACGGAGCTCTGCGAGAACCCGAGAGTGAACCCATCTACCGCCCTCTTTTAAAACCCCCTCATCAAAAGGTCTATTTGAGCAGGTCAACCAGGAACATGTGTACATTTTTTGAAGAATCAAAACGTCAGTGCCGGAGGGAAATTGTTTCTTCACGACTTCCACATGTATGTGAAAGTTTTTAGCCGTCAATACATTTAAATCTACACACATTATATTGTCAAACTGTTTAAAACAACTGTTTCGCCGTCACTTTTAGGTTCTCATGTGACCCGTTCGTAAGTGTTCAGCGAAGCCAGAGCCCCTTAAGCTGCTAAAAGGGTCATTCAGGTTTAAAGCTGTGAGGGTTTCATGATAACTGCATAATCTTTGTATTTATTGCAGGAAAATGACTGCTCCAGTGAAACAAACATGCGAGCACTCACCCCCGCTGCCCAGTTCACCAGCCAGGTAGGGATACTGCCACCGGGGTTATCGAAGTAATTCATGAAGACTGTAAAGAAAACACATGTTCAGTGTTGATATCGGGGCGGCAGCTCATTATTTCTTTTGTTAAGCAATCAATTGTTTTGTTTTTGATACTTTGATCTAAGAAATGTAAGAAATATGGTGTAAAATGAATTTTTTTTTTACAAGTTTCCAGATCTCACATTAACAGTCAAAAATCAAAACGGAGGGCTGGGTGGTGAACACATGTGATAATATCTGGTTGTTGTAGTAAAATTCTGTTTTTAAAATAATGATTTTTAAGCAAATTTCAATAAAAAATAAAACAAATTGCACAAGAGTTTTCATCGTGAAATAATGAACTCTGGAGCAAAGTATAAATCTATTATACCAACTTTAATATTTTGTGTTTTTGCATATATTTGCCCTTATTATTATGAATATTAATATTGAAAAAATATATAAAAATATATATTACAATATAAACGTATTGCCATATTGCCCAGGCCTATCCAAACATTGAATTTACAATTATAAAAGTCAAATGTTCACTGGAACCCACAGCTGTTTGACATCTTTGCTGATAATTTAAATTATTAATTTATTAATATAATTTAATTTCACGCGTCACCTTTCGTCCCACAGCCTCCGTCGCTCTCCAGGGCGACGCTCTGCTTGTAGTCTTTGACCCGCAGCACGCCGCTGTTCTCTGCACACGGTATCTCCGCCGCACTTCTGGCCAGGATCACGCTGATCTTCCTGCCGTCCACGTCCAGGTCTCTGCGCTCCCTCACGTACACGTACTGAGGTCCGAGCTGTTAGGGAAGACACTCTGATGTCCTCTGACTTATAGGCCGTGCTCGGTGCTCACATTTCTTTGTCCAGGTGAAAATGTATTTGTGCGGACCAGAAGGATACGTCTCTGTTTGTCAGAAGCAATGGGTATTTCACTTCCCAGTAGATCGCAGTCTGTCCACTGAAGTCCTTCTCATAGAGCTCTAAATATAAAATAAGAAAAAACATGAAATAAAAAAGCAGCTAAACATCAGATACATACAGGTGGATGGATACAGATGCACGTAAACGTGCTGTATGTTGCTTTTCATCTCAAGGAAAGGAAATAAAAGATTTCTGTTGGAAGAGTTAAAGGCACACTTGGAATACTGCCCATCGCCCAATTATGCAATTATTTAGCAGCCTAAAGTGGTTCAGTACAGTTTCTCGTGATCCACATCAAATATATGTGACATTCTGCACATGCAGAAAGAGACTTTATATTATGTCACAGGCTGCAACCAAAAGACAATAAATGATGATCCATCTTAACAGTAAGAGCTTTGTCAGTTGGTAGTGAATTACTAATGAGACAGGCAGCAGGTCTACATACGTATTCTGTGAGAGAGAGAGACTCCACCACGGACAACAAGACTTTCCCCCAAAAAGTGCCACTTTGGAGGAAAAAAACAAGCTACTTCAACTACTCATAAAATCACAAATTATAAACTATGTGCTTCTAGCAGACTAGGCAGCTATGACAAAGTTACCTGCATTACTGCAGAGGTGCATGAAGACAAGGACAACAAAACATTATAAACCATGCCGCAATGAAAGAGTTATCCATGGTGAATGTCAGCGACTTACTACAGAGCTAATGTGAATGTGAAGAGTTATCATGAAGCAGGAGAGATGAGGGGAAGTGGATTTGGAGGAATTACTGTTTGTTTGTTGTTGTTTTTTTTACCTTTCACATATTTATCCCAATGTTTCCGATACGCCAGGTCCATGTAGACATCTGCACACAGCTCTGCAGTGCAGCTGGCAAGCACGCCAAAGACCTTGTACTCATAAAGACGAGTTTCCTGAAAACAGCACATGAAAGTTCTCTCTATAGATAAAGCAGACTACATGCCACACCCACAGTACGGCAACCGATCCCTAAAAACACACACCATCTGGGATTAGAGCCAGTCAGCGTCACACCCTCTCCCTGTGTGCTGGACTGGATTCAGCAGAAACAGGTACGGACGCTTCCCTTCACTCGCACTACTAAACCTGACACACTGCACTCATCGGCACTGGTTTTGTGCGTCTAGTTGAAGAGAAAGTAAAAGTCACACCAAACTCCATTCACAAAAACATCAGTTTAAGGCCGTCTTGTTTTCCCTTTGGCATCGGACAGCATAACCTCAATGATCACCAGATACACACACATTACTACCCTCTGGATGATAGAGCAGCGCATTGAGTTACTAGACTCAAGCAGTGTCTTCTTAACGTTTAAACCAAATATGAAATATTGATATTGACTAAATAGTTCTCATAATAGTAATTCAATTAAGACGCTGGAATTACCTACACAAGACTCTCAATGAAGTCTCTTTAACTACAAATAAAATGTCATATTCAAAACTTCTTGTTTTTATCATGAATTTAACTTTTTTTTAGTAAATAAACACGTTTGGGGGGTAAAGTTCCCACAGTCAAAATTCTTATGAATCCCTATTTTTCTTTTTTTCCATCACCTAGAATAGACAGTAAGAGAATTTAGGTAATTCGTGTCTGCAGTTTGAAATTCACATTTTATTTCATTTTGACTGCGTTTCTTTTCGTTTACTTTTCATCGAGTCAGACTTGATGTGCTAGGTGTGCGCCGAGTTAAAGGAGGGTGCTTTCTGACTTCATAAATGTATTTAATCCGGTTTGAGGACGCATGTTTATGCGCAACAAGGAGCAGCAACATTAAATGGGCAGATTCGTACACGGAGTTTGGTGGGAACCGGTAGAGCCGGTCCAACTGCTCTCGCCCTTAATTTCCGGATACTTCCCACGTTGACCGCGTGGAAATCACTGCTGCTGTGTTTGTTAATGTTTTCAACACATTGATTGAATCACATTAACCTTTTAACTACTAGCCCTATTTTTAGGTGACAATCTCACATTCTTTTTTGCAGAGACAGATGCTGCAGACTCTGCAGAGGAAACCCCAAAGCGACCCGGACTCATGCATCCCGTCCTCCTGTAGGGAAAGCAGCGGTTGTATGTATTGTCTCTACCTTGTCATAGAGCCGATAGATGGTGACCCCCATCGTCTCCACGAACAGCTCCCATCCGCCCTCCAGCTGCGGCTCATCCAGCTCCCTCCACGCGCTCTGGAACTCCTCATCTGTAAAGTGTGGCGACATGACGGCTCCTCTCTTCACACCTCTGTCACAGGACAACCACGCTTCCGGTCACTGCTTTCAAAATAAAAGAGTATGTGATTGATGTGAGCACTAAACTACTAAGAATTATAATTCTTATTATATGTCAGACCACATGATAACATATATTATGTTGCTGTACAACATTACATAGCATGTTTTAACTTACACTATGTTATACTATACATTGTTATATTTCTGTATACTTATATTTCATACTATGTTATATTGTATTATTATACTATATTTGAGGTTATACAATACTATAGTACTACAGTTCCCCTTATTCTTTGTCTCATAATCCATAATATAGCATAATGTACCTATTATAGAGATATGCATAACTGGAAGCATTCTTGTAAATATTTGCAGAGTAGAACATTACAGTTTTGTTTGTAAGTGTAGAAACACGACATCTGCACACAAACTACACCCACTCCTGTAGCCACATCCATCATTTCTTACTGTTACATGAAGATAAACTGAGCTCAGTATGTTATTATTCATCTGAATATTAATTAAAAACATGTTTACTGTAATTAGGGAAGGAGATGACGACCCGAAATCACAAATCACATTTGTTTATGTGCGATAATCGGTGTTATGCAACAGAGATAAAAACAGAAAGGAGAGAAGACCACAGTGCCAATGTATTTACAGTGTGTGGAACAGGTGTGTGCGTCTTCCACTGTAAATCAACAGCTGTTGTGGGACATTTATGTAGTGTCAACAGGAATGATTTCTGAGAGAGTGTCACACACCGGTCTCACACACTGGGACAGGTCACCATGGGAACCCAGTGAGAAAACTAAAACATCTGTCATGAAGTGAGTTTGACAGCAAGTCCATTTTTCTTCACATTTGTTGAACATTTTTCTCTTGAAAAAAAAAAGTGGTTACATTTCTCCAAATGTTTCCACCGTGGTCGAAGTTGCTCAGACAAGAAGTTGTCTTTCCTACTGGTCTTGTTTATAGTCCTGTTATCTGTTCGTTTGAGCACTTTATTTTAGATTTCACTTTATTTTATATTTTACTTTATTTCATATTTTTCTGTAAATTTGAACATGTTTCTACTTTGCACTGTTGATTGTTGTTGATTGTTGTTAAATGTTATGCACCTCCCGTCATAGGAAATTCCTTGTATGTTCAACATACCATGGCAATAAACGGTTCTGATTCTGATTCTGATCAGTGAGGATAGTCAGATTAAAGAGCAACTCCACACATAATCCTGCTGCACTGACCTCAGCGGGCTGAAGGTTTAAACTGTGTGCTCTGTTGACTTGACTGATGACTTCTGAGAATGAGACACCTCCATTGCTTTCAGTCGTTGGTACAGCTTTTGTTTTGTCTTTCTCAATCTGTGAGTCCACAAACCTTACACTGAACCGCTGGATTAACTCTTTAACCAGATTAGAAACTGACATTATGTTGTGTATAAGCACTGTTTTATGGGGATTTACAGGCGTCATGTTGGTGGGTGTGTTTCTTTTTAGTTTTTATTTTGCTGCATTTTTTTTTCTTCTTCTTTTGTGTGTTGTCAAACTGCTGAAGTTTTCTCCACATAATAATAATGATAATAATAATAATAATACATTGTTAAATTGTGCCTTTCATGAGATATAATATAATAAGTATAATTGAGATCCAGTGTCAGTGTTGTTCCATCTATACAGTAACGGAAATGAACTGATATTAATTTCAGAATAAATGCTGCTATTGAACTAAGAGTAATTGCAACAAATGCTGGCAGCATTTATTTTGAAAAAGCATCACCAGAAGTTATATTTTGTCCTTATTGCTGTGAACTTCATGCTCCAGTCATCGATACTTGAAATAGTTGCTCTCGATGGGGATGTCAGTCCGACCAGCAGCGGACCGCACAGTGGAACTCTCCTCTTGAATGGGAGTCAGACTCCAGCCCGGAGAGAGAAGCTGTTCGTAGTTCCACGAAGAAGAAAACAACATCCACTTTTAATTAGATGAGTGTGAGTGAATATTTTATGAGCGTCTTTTTACTCAGAGGCAAGTTTCCCTGCAGCAGAGGAGAATCCAGGAGACTGTGCGACATGGAACACGGCTGTGAGGTAACTAACCTTCCGTCTTTCTGCACGGAGCTTTATGGAAACACGTCGAGGAGACTCACCTCGCTGCAAAGAAAAGCTGCAGTTTGGGTTTAAAGGTATACACTTAGTGCCAGCTGGAACCAGGCCCTGTATACATTCGGTTTAGATTAATGGTGGTGCGGATTAATATGATGGGAATTTTGAGGATTATTTAAAATAATAACTTCATCCTGATCTTCAGTTAAAGTATCCTAAACGTGCAACATGCACACGTTTACAAATATAGTAAAATGAGCTGAAGAAACATACTTCAACCCTCTTGTTAATCAAAATGATTTGACTTCACATCTTGGACCTTTTTCCCCCACAGATGAATTTTCGCATTCTCCAAAGTGAAGGGAATAAGTGACTGCAAACTTTGAGCAGTTCACACAAAAGACTTATTTCTCAGATGTTTTTTTAAATTGTTTTTAGAGCAAAGATTTGAGATCATTCAGAAATAATAGCCTAAATATTCATCTATCTTTGTGAACATCTTGCACCATTCTTCTGAAACACATGTTTAAATCGGGGCACAGCTAGCATTATTTTTATTGATTAGTAATCATTTTGTCAATAAACTGTACTATAAATTCTCCACAACCCAAGTACTAAAATAGTTTGTGCTGTTTGACCAACAGTCCAAAACACAAAGACATTCAGTTCACAATCCGATATAACAAAGAAAAGCATCAACTCTTGATGAGCTGGAAACAGAGAATGTTTGTCGTTTTTTGGAGAAATAACTAAACAATGAATTGGTTATCTATTATTGTTGTTATCTACACTCTATCAAGAAAATCCTGGTGGAATCAACCAATTAAAAACTAAATTAAAAAGTGTGTAATCTGTTTTCCCCACCCGGGTTGTTTAAACCCCCAGATTTCTGCAGGCAGCCTACGGCTAAACATGTTAATTACAGTTATTCTACAGCAACATACTGCTAAATCACAGTAATATACTGGCATAGCTAGTAAGCCTGTTATTTCACACAGTCATTTACTGTGAAAATGATACAATGCCTTACTGTGAAAGTACTGCAACTGGTAGCCAGTGATTTACTGTGAATCTACAGTCAAATAATTTACAGTGTACATAATACATCACCACAGTAGTACACAGCCATGACCCCCTGAAGGGGCCTGACCCACAGTTTGGGAACCACTGGTCTGGAGCATGTCAGAATGATCTTTCGCAATTCTACAACAATATGCTGGACATGCTGGGTTTTTTTTTAATGAAAACCCTGACAATGATGGAAAGTATAACTGACACTGCTCTGCCCATTTATTGTCACTCAGAGTCAGACATGAGTCGGGGGGGGGGGGGGGCTGGGGGGGGGGGGGAGTGCTTGTGAAATTTCTGGTGATTTCGAAGCTCCTCGCATTTCACGGAGCAGTTTGTAATGTCATATCCTGCGCTCTCCAGGGAATGTGTCAGCTCGTGCGGGGCCGAGCGGTCCTGCGTCATTCAGACACAACTCCCCCGACTGGGACAGGCGGCGGCTGGGATTGTGCAAAGAGGTTACTTTAAAGCAGCGTGGGGAAGCGGTCAGAAAGTGGTGTCGAAATTGTGAAATGTGGTGCTGAATTGAAGGAAAAGTCTCTGTGTGTCCAGGGTTGAGCAACAAGTTTGGTTTCTTCCTTCACATAGACCGGGAGACCCTAGCAGAGGAAAGGAGGTCGTTGACGGGGAACCATCTGAGGTTGGGTTAACAGAAGGCTACTCGATCCTGCAATGCCAGAAGAAGCCAATGAGGAAGCCATGAGAACGCCAGCGACACCAGAGAAGGCCAACAACAACGAGCACCCGGCAGCCGCCGTGGTAAACATCCCCCTGGTCAATGAAGTCCAGCTGACCGCCGCCACCGGCGGGGCGGAGCTGTCCTGCTACCGCTGCACCGTCCCCTTCGGCGTGGTGGTCCTCATCGCTGGCATCGTGGTCACCGCCGTGGCTTACAGCTTCAACTCGCATGGATCCACCATCTCCTACTTCGGCCTGGTGCTCCTCTCGGCCGGTCTGGTGCTCTTGGCGTCCAGCGTCGTCTGCTGGAAGTTGAGACTGGAGAGGAAGAAGGAGAGGCGAAGGGAGAGCCAAACCACCCTGGTCGCAAACCAGAGGAGTATTTTTACTTGAACCGGCAGTTTGGACCACGCTTCCTGGTTTCCTGAGATTTCGAGAACCAGCTGCAGACAGATGTTGTCCAACATGTGTTGGATTTCTGACCTGTAAAAGCTTTGACCGCAGACTCTCAAGGCCCAGATACTTTGAAAACTTTGTGTGGGATTTATTTGTCAAACAGACGCCGAGCATCTGGCGAGCTGGGAATGCAGCCAGCGGGACTGTATCACAATTAAGATGAATTACCACTGTGCGAAGCGATGTTGAGGAAGTCTCCCATTAATCTGCTGTTGGATGTGGCAGTTTTGATTGTAATGGGAGGGATTGTGGTTTGAAAGGCCCAGGAGAGCAGAAGGAAACTGAAAGACACAGGGACAATGATTCATGCCTCATTTACCACACTTCATCTTGGACGTATCGGGTTGTGAAGCCTCAGCAATCATCTCACAGGAATTGATTAGGAATTGCCTGTTATGAAAGTATGGTACTCAATATGAGGATTTTCTTTAAAATGTGCCAATATATTCTGGTCAGCATATCAGATTAGATGGCACATGACATTCAAGAGAGTATTTAACCTTAAATATATATATATATATTCTCTTAAAGCACTTTGATTATCATAATCGTCATATTCAATATTAAACGTCTATTAACTATTGAAGTAGCTTAAGTGATTCATCCAGAATTGTGCAACCCAGTCGGCACAGAAAATGTTGAGTTGTTTGTTGGGTACGTTGAATGTTGACGTTTCTAAACCACAAATAAGTTTCATAGCCTCAGCTAACACTTGGAGAAATGCACGATGCGATGCGGTTGGTTAGGTTTAGGCTACAACACTACTTGGTTAAGCTTAGAAAAAAAACAATTTGTTTTTAACGTAACAACAACAATGTTACAGCAGCGTATAATGTATCAATGTAACAAAGCCTTTCACGGACTTTCTTATGTAACGCAGCAACGACGTAACGCCACGACGTAACGCCACGACGTAACGCCACGACGTAACGCAACGACGTAACGCAACGACGTAACGCAATAACGTAACGAAACAACACAACGCAGCAATGTAACATAACCCCAACAATGTAATGCAATAATGTAACAAAACAATGCACTGTAACATTGTAAAGTCAACGCAATGTAACACCCGGAACAACATCAATAGATAACAACTGTTCTTTTTTTACGTGATGTTAGGTAAGAAGAGTTGACTATTGGTTTTACACAGGACACAAACTGCTGTCTCCTTGGTGAAAGTCCTGTGTTTGTTTGACCCACCTACCACTCCTCCAACCCGTCCTTAGTGGACTTTCTCTCTTCTTGTACTCTTTATTATACCACGTAACATTCAATAACGGATGCTTGTTGTACTTGTCACTCACTTTGACCAAATGCAAAAATTTCGACATTCTACGTATCCAATGTTTGCAGAAATGTACAATGCCGAAATTTTCCCTGGTGACTGGGTTGAATTGTGAGTAGCTTTGCTTATTTTGGACAAATTTTGGACATCAAAATGAATATTGTTTTGGGTGATGATCGCTTATTATCAAGTGTACCTCCATACGGTAAATAAATACTTAATGTAGCATATGTTTTGTTTCGATGTATTCATTTGCATGTATTAGCTGTGACCAGAACGCCATGAGGTTTAATAAACTGATTGATACACAAACATGTAATCGTTTCACAGTTGGGACGACGAGTTTCAATGTTTATGTTGAGGGGAACTTTTTAAAGTTGAAAAATACACTCCAGTGGACAAATGATGAAAAGACAAAACTTGTTTTTGAATCATCTCGACGGAAATGTATTGTTACCATTGATGGCCGACATACACTCTGATACTGAATCTGGATCGGTGAGGCTTTTAATGTTCATAGGAAACCTGACTCTTGATGAGTTGACAGTGTTTGAGGCGAGGTATGTTTTGGAGAAGGGATGAGTTATTATTTCAACAGTCAGCTCTTTGCTTTCAGTGCTGAATTGAAGGAAATGTTTATTTCTCTCATGACGCACATGGGTGTGCCTGAGTCTTCACAAATATACAAGCCATTATTTAAAATTGTCAAACTGAATGTGTTAAACAAAGCCTTGAATTGCACTTCCTAGTCAGTACTTCCACACTTTGACATCCGATTTGAACAACCAGAGCGTTCGGACTGAGATGCATCTGTAGAAATTTGAATGGAATCTTATTTCCGTCGCCTCCAAATGTGGTTTGGATTTTTTTGCTGTCCAGACTTATTAAAATCAATCTGGATGTGCTGAAGAATAAATTTATGATGGCAGTCTGATCACGTCCTTAAATCTTTTTGGAGCTTTTAGCCACATCTTCAATATAACAACTGCTAAAATTCTACACTTAAATCATGTGACAACAACTTTTGTTTTTCAAATTTAAATGTCAAGAATCAGCTTTAACCCTCCAAATCAAAGCTTGCTGCAAAGCCAGAATAAAACATTAGTATGTTATTTTTCTTATAGTTAACGTGAACCGGCCCTTTAAGTTATACATTTCCCTTGCAATAGAGTATACTTAGAGGACTTGAGTTCTTCTTCCTGTTTATTGATAAACCGACCCGGCAGCGTGACGCAGAGCGGAATGACAACCACGTGAGGCACAGAAAGTGACGCACAGAGTCCCTGCAGGAGGTGCCGGCAGTGTGTAAAGAGGCTGGTGGAGAGAGCACCTGTCAAACTTCATATCAAGTCACCCGTTTTGTTTTTTTCCAGCTTCAGTGTGCCTCCCTCTCTAACCTGACAGACAGGCAGTAGAGGCCTCAACGACGGGTCGTGTGTCCCATGAATGTGTTTATATGATCCGATCTCCGTACAGTAGGCCTACTGGCCTATAGCTGATGATGTGTCAGAGGTTCTCCTCTGACGCAAGAAAACCATTTAGTTGTAGTGTCTGGTGTCACGGGGGACGCAACGCAAATGCTGCTTATAAATACACTTCCACGTCCAGGCTATTTTAAACCTCACCGGGTCACACAGAAGAGTTCAACGAATGTTTAATTATCTGGAGGACCCAGCAGAGAAATGAGCAGATGATCATTTAGACAATTTACCAACTGGTGAAATAAATGATGCATTACGATGACGTGGAAATGAATGGTTAAGTAGCACGAATTCGTAGTAATCTTGTAGATTAAAAAGTTAAATAACTTATTGAGTTTCCTTTTCATCGGTGGGAGAAAAACTGCAGATTAGATTCGGAGGATAAATGAGGAAAGATAGGACAAAAGGAGGGAATAAATAAGTTAAATAAGGGTCCATAGGAAAGGGAGGAAGAAAAGAATGTAATCAAGAAAAAAAAAGAGTAAGGGGATAAAAGGAGGAAAGAAAGAAGGAAATGAATCAAGAAAGGAAAGAAAGAAGGAATTAAATCAAGGAAGTGGAGAAAGAAAGAAGGAAAAGAATACAGGAATACAGGAAAAGTGGCCGAAAAGAAGGAAGCGGAAAACAAATTAGGGAACGAGAGAATGAGACAGAGATATAAGGAAAGGACAGAAAAGACATAATTCCCTCTGTATGAATAGAGAGTCTCTTAAAATGGAAAAAGTACTCGACATAAATTTACTTTCCACCTCCTTCAACAAAGGATCAAGCCTGAAGTCTGAAATTCCAGACTGCAACACAACCGATCTCACATTGTCCACATTCAACACAATTAAAGATAATGAGCTCAGCGTTACCAGGGATCCTAAAACAGGCTGAAGCAGACCCGACCTGACAGCCATCCCGCCGGTCGACTGCACTGAAGTGACATTCGTTCATTCTTTCCAGTACAACCTGGAGCACGGAGGAGCCAAGTGTTTCATTTGACCTGCTTCAGGTCGGCGACTGTTAACATTACTCGACAGAGCCCCGTTGCTGCGGGTCGGAACGAATACTGATTTGTTGATAAGATCTGTTCCAAGAAAAAAGGCTCTGAACTCTCGTGTATTCTGAGAACAAAGATAAACCTTTTGGGTGTCGGGGGACGGAGGCTGCGGATCAAAACTTAAACCCGGGAGGTTTTAGAAATCCTTTTTCATCAGATTGTAATATCACTGGTTCATATGAAAAAGTTTCAGTTTGTTCCAGAATCAGCAAGAGTTTTGTTCCTCTGGTCATTCCTAAGGGCAGCTGTAGCTCAGTGGTATAGCGGATCGTGCTTTAACTACAAGGTTGGCGGTTTGTTTCCCGGCTCCAGCTGTCTGCATGTTGAAGTGTCCTTGAGCAAGATGCTGAACCCCAAATCGCTCCCCGTCGCTTTGGAGTGTAGCTCACTGCTCCTAAAATGCTTCGGATTAAGGGTTAAATGCAAAGGTCAATTTTCTTTAATTATTCAAATAAAGTTTAAGTTTATTTTTAGCGTTTTACTGCAATGGTCAGACGTCCCGTGGGGCTGTACTTTGTCGAAATGGTGCTCTGAGCTAAATGCTAAAGTCAATGCTAATGTCAGCATGCTGATGGTGGCGCTAAAAGAAAAATCTGGAGAAGTTATTACAATTCATCCTGAGGAGATCATGAATGTTTCATTGCAACCAATTTGATCATATTTGCTTGTGGCGCAAAAGGAAAAGTCGGAGGATAACTAAAGTCCGAAGGATTCATCCTCAGAGGACCATGAACAAAATGTTATGGCAATCCATTCAGTAGACGTTTAGATATTTCACAGGATCAGTGAACACGTTGACCTGCTGGTGGCACTAGAGGAAGAGTCAGGGGGTCACTAAAGTCCTAAGGATATATCCACTGGAGACCATGAAAGCTGAACCAAGCTGATGGATAGACTTTACCATCCCTAGAGTCAAAGTGGTAAAAGATTTTGAGCGAGAACATATTGGGCTGTGGATCTGCTCATTAACAACAGCTGTGGTGTTGTGGGTGTCTCTTCCAGGGACACCGCTCACTGGAAGGAAGTAAATCTCGGAGCTGGACATAAAGGTGAGCCAAACCGTGTGTATGAAACGCTTCTCAGTCTCACGCACCAGCTCAGCTCCTTCCTGCCCAGAGAGGTGTGACTGCTCCACGATCACTTTGTTTTTATAACCGTAGCATTAAATATTTGGTTCTAAAATACCAAGATGGCGCCGGCCGGAGCCATCTTGGCCACTTCAAGCTTCACAATGGCTCTTTAGAAACCTATTGGTGACATCACAGAGACTACGTCCATATTTTATACAGTCTATGTGTGATTACAAGGAACCTCAAGGGGGACATGAATCTTTCAAGATAACCCAACCAATAATTGTTTTTTCAGCCGCGACCACAGTGGCGAACCGACCCGCCCTCCAACACTGCCATCCCTGAGGCCGTGCTACTAGCGACCGTTTGTTTGAAGCGTTTTGACGCCTGAAGCCAACAAATGGACAAAAACAAACCCCATTGGCATTCATGTAAGATTTCTAAACCTCTTCTTTCAACATAACAAGGGCCAGCAGTGTTTGACAGAGTGACATCGGCAGTCACTAACTCTGTATGCTGTCTCTTTGATTCTTTCATGTGCTGCCAGTGGTTCTCGGGAGTGTCTGAAGTGTTGGCTGGCTACCGTCCCGGAGGTGCCGCTGGCTCGGTTCGCCCTCATTCCACCACATAATAAAGAGAAAGCTCTTCC